AACTACTGAGTACAGTAGGAGAACGAAATTAATTTTGCAAAAACATTTCTCAAAAATCACAAGGAAGAGCTGTAGACCTACGTACTGTCAAGCTGCACACTAAGTCTGAGATTGACTTCGTGTAACGTTCTTTATTTTTCCCAATATATTTCGAATAAAATTTGTCAATTCTGGGTCCCAAGAGGGTGGTGCATCTTGAAAAAAAAAAGCATTACAGAAAGTGTTGTAAATTACGAATGGGGTTTACAAAGCCAAGGGAATCTATGCCTTGGGGGAGTAGTGTTTTTGCGGAGTATCGGTACGCGGGAGTATCAGTGCGGGGGAGTATCGGTGCGGGGATGTAAAGAAGTGGGGGAGTATCGGTGCGGGGGAGTATAGGTACGTAGCCGATTTTCTATGTTGTTTGACAATAAAATAATAGTGACAAGTGTTGCTTCCAATATTTGAGGTACTCACCAAAATTGGTCCGTTCTTTAATGAACTATCTAGTGTTATTTTTAGCCCTATGTATTCACCCTTACCTTGACTCTTGTCAGAGATAATAGTTAGGGAACTAAGAGGTCACATATTCACTGTAGTTGGTTTATAAGGCAGTGTCAAATCGGCATCATTTGCCCCTTAATGAAAGTTGATGTTTTTGTTCCCTGCAGATATCAGAGAGCATATCAGGCACATTGACAAGGCGGTGTCAACCAAGGAGCCTCGCTATGTCATGCGTGTCGTGCGGGCCCTAGTGACAACAAGAAGAAAGCTAAATCACAATGTGCTTAGGAAGGCCATCACAGGCTGTTACCCTGCTGCCTCTGAGGCCAAGGCTGATCTTCTATCTTTTCTGGATGAGGTATGTCACTACATAAACATCTTTGGTTTAATAAATATTGCAATATCTAGGTTTTCTTGTACCTTTTTTCCTTGGTCAAGGTAATGTTTTTTTTTTTTTTTTCTTTGGTTGAAACAATGAAAAACTGGAAAAGCACTGAGAGAGAGCAGGCCCCATAACTGGAAAGCATCGCCCATTGCGACCAAATGCAAGCGTCTTGATTCCATAACTTGCCCGTACTCTCCCCATATAATAAATACATTGTAGCCTCTATGTGATATCGCTATTGGCCATTTGCAGTGCTTTCGAGGTACGGGACCCAGATCTGCACCAAGGCAGATCAGTTCTCATTTTTTAATAATTAACAAATGGATCACCACCCAAACCTAATCCATTTTAAGTCACTTCTTTTTTGGCCTGATCTAAAACTAATAGCAAAATATGACCATAGCTTTTTGACTTAATGCACGGCCAGCAGATTTCTTGCAGTGCAGGTCTTTCTGACTATCAGTACCTCAAAATTTTCCTCCTTGTCTGAATAATTTGTTTTATCTTTCAGGCCACTCTTTTATATTTAAAATCCAATAAATTGTTTCATCTTCCAGGCCATGGACACAGACAGTGGCACTGCCAGTCCCTTCAGACTGAGGTCAGCCAGGAGTCCACTGGTCCAACTCCTCCCTGAGGTGGACATCTACCTACATCTCCTGGTCACCATACATCTGATAGATACCAAGAAATATGATAAAGTATGTTATACCTGATATATATAAGACTTTGCCTGTTTCTTCCCTCATTAAATGATAAAAATCCCATATTGCTAGTTAAGAATTTCTGACCTGGCTCATTAAAAGTGATGCTGATTAATATTTTGTTGATTTTTTGCCAGTTTTGGTAAATTTTGAGATATTTTGATCACTGGTGAAGAGGAAATTGGGTCTAACACTGCAAGGAACAAAAATAAATATGTAGTAAACTAGTTTTACCGATTTTGTTTTCATATCTACAATCTTATCTGCAAATGCAGACTTTATTTTTTTATTATTATTATTTATTTACTTATTATGTCCAGGCTGTCAAATGTTCCGACTTGTTGATGAAGAAACTCCTGAACCAGAACAGAAGGACACTGGATCTGCTGGGTGCCAAGTCATATTTCTATTACTCCAGGGCATATGAACTCACCAATCAGCTAGAGAGGATTAGAAGGTGAGGGGATGGGGCTGCTTTTGTGAGTGACATGGAGGAGGGGTCTTTTCACTGTCAGTGAACACGTAACTGAACCCACTGGGGCACATTCTGTTCTTAGAGTAGAGATATGAGCCAGGAATGTGAATAAGTCCGAACTGTGAACTCATACTGTCATAATATTGTTTGTTTTCAATGGTGATCTATTTATGGAAGAGCTTTTGGCTTCTCCATCTACAAACATTTTTTATACTTGTTTTACTATTTAAAAAAGTAGTGTGCTGCGTTAGATGCAACACCTTGAAGAGCGAGAAGAGCTCTCAGCATGCCCAATGATCCACTTTAGGTTCATTTTCATGCCCAATTATATCAAGTGTGAATAGACCTTAAAATCAACTTATTTTATTATTTTATTTTTTTTACAAAATGTATTTATATCTAGTTCTTGTTTGATTTCCAGTTTTCTCCATCAGCGCTTGAGAACGGCCACCCTGCGAGGAGACCACGAGGGTCAGGCCACTCTGCAGAACCTGTTGTTGAGGAACTATCTCCACTGTAATTTGTACGACCAGGCAGATAAGCTGGTCTCCAAATCCACCTTTCCAGAGAGTGCTTCTAATAACGAGTGGGCTAGATATCTGTATTACTTAGGTAAGTGTGTATTGAAGGACAAGCTGGATTTGGTGTGTCCCTTACCACATTGTGTTATTTTTAGACAAAGTACGCATTTAATATACCAAATCAATGAGAATTTGATTAAAATGAAAGATAATTCTGATAAATTGAAAAAAGAAAAGGGGCTCATTGATGTTTATATTGCAGGGCAATTTAATAACTAGCTTAAGTCTGAACTGTGCCTTAAAACTTATTTGAAGTCAATATCTCACTAAACAAGTCTGCTTTGAGTGTAGCTATCAGTAAATAGTGGCAAAGCTAATATTAGATTTTTTATTTTATCCAACTTGTTTTGCATTGCATTATATTGTGTTGTACGCATTTTGTTGTAGTGTATTGTACATATTGTATTTTATTTTATTGTACTGTATAGTAGCTTCAGGAAAATCAGCCTGTGTTATAAAACCAGAGCTAAATATCTAAGATACTGTTGTGTTGTTTTCAGGTCGTATCAAGGCGCTGCAGTTGGAATACTCCGAGGCACACAAGAACCTCCTCCAGGCTATCAGGAAGGCTCCCCAGCATGCAGCTGTAGGGTTCAAACAAACCGTGAGTATTTCACCACTACTGGGCACATTGTCTGAGAGGAGGTGAATTAGGTTCAGGGCACATGGACCAGGTTCGCAACACATGCCTGGTTTGTGAAGAACCAATAAACTGCCTGTTTCAGGAATGAAAATAGAGTGTTTTAACAATTAGTACGATCCTTTTATAATAATGTTCTTCTTGATTTTACTAAGGAAATTTTTACTCTTAGGGTACCACTGTGTGAGTTTTACATTTTATATTTTCAGACCTTCTGAGGCTTCTATCCAAAAATCAATATCAAATCTGTGTGTTATGTTCACTCTTACAGTTTTCTTCCCCCAGGTTCATAAATTCCTAGTGACTGTGGAACTGCTACTAGGAGACATTCCTGATAGATCTACATTTAGGCACAAAGAACTCAAGAAGTCACTGGCACCTTACTTCCAACTCACTCAAGGTAAAGAGTCAACTTGT